TGATCTGAGGCACGGATATTGCAAAAATCGCCAAAAGCGGAAACTGCTGAATTTTATGCATAAATAGAATCGTTACCATGTTGCCATGGAATGGATGCAAGAAAAATCACGGACTCGATGCATACCTGAGAAATATAACTGACTGTCAACAGAATTTTTCAGACATATTCGATTTCGTGAGTTGGTTTACACGAAAACTTTCCTAGAGAATGATCTATACAAAGAATACAAAGATACAAGTCATTACATCAGGTAGATGGCATAGACCCGGCGTCCCTTTGCGCTTTAGAGGGGTTATTTTATGAAGGGCAAGGATTCACGGTATTTGAACACCAGTGGGGGATGAATACAGAAACATTTCATAGCCCTGGTTCATATACATACACGTGAGTGGTACTAAAGGGGTTGATGGGTAGAAAAACACATACGCTTGTGGAATTAATTTAAGTGCTTTTCAATCTGAAAGCATTAGGCTGAAAACTAAGCGGTTTTTTAAGGTCAGTATCTTCGTGTAAGTCTGAATATGTTTAAGCCTACTATGTCAATTTTAAAGCATACGCTAGAAGAAGAAAAACCTCGTTAGGATAAGTAAATCGTAAGGTATACTCGCTTAAAGGTGTCTTCTTTACTTTTGTGTAGGATAATACAGACAGACACGATTTTAGCAAAGGTACGATGATAAAAACTTAACACAGAAAAAGCACTGGCATGTTAAATTCGTAGTTCAACGAAAATTTGGCCTCAATCACTTTCGCCACACGAACTTCTTTAGCTAGTTGATTTAGATGTTTCTAAGTAATCATCAGATCCAGTTCACGCATCCTTCTATAAAACAGTATTCGGATAGGGAAGCTGCCTACAGTTCACAGATGACAGGCAAAGGATCTACTCAAGACAGCCTCAATATCTCCCCGGCAACAAATCACTTCCTTCAAGCTAATTCGTGACATCATTTCAAGCATGTCAGAACAACGTTGGAATTCAAGTCTCAATGAAAGAAATGACAACGGTATGAAATATGAAAAGTCAACAAAGTAGCGGAAGAAAAAAGTACGCCTATTTAGCACAGTAAATATTCAGAACACTTAGCGCTTGCAAATTTTTATGAAAATACTTGCCCTATTGCAACAATAAGAAAATCGAGAATATTCCAGCCATTACGAAGGTAAGCACCAGAATGCAAAAGAAAGCCATTGGCGATGACCTTCATTAGACATTCAATCGTAAATACCACAATGAAAATATATTCCACTTGTTCCTGAAACAAAATTTAAAAAAAACATCAATATAGAAAATCCAAGATATTCAGTCATTTTTTAATCAAAGGACAAGGAAAAAATATTTTAATGTTATTTCTGGCAAATATATGGCTTTTCTTACGTGCTAAATTTTGCGACACCTAACCGCTCATGAAAAAAGTCACTTAAGTACTCTTAGTGTCAGTCAAGTTCACTTTATGGCGAAACGAGACAAATTGTTACTGGTACTCGTTACTTGTGCTGTTTCAAACAACATAGATTAAAAACATAAAACAAAAATATAAACAAATTAAAAATTCAAACAGAAGTTTGCTAAGAGTAAATTTTCAAGGTGTGAGGGTCAAGTAACGTCCAGGCCAAATGAAGAACCAATGACCGTCTACGGGTCTTTTGCACGCATGTATACACAAGGAAACGGTGTACAAACGTTGCCACAACGGCATTCACGAAAGAAATTTAAAAAATATGTAAACATGATCTGACGCCATCAACTATATTTATGGCAGACGCCATGACGAAATCTTGACTTCGGTTGGTTAGTTCATGCGCAGAAGGCGTTTATAGCTTCTTGTAGCTGCATATATCGTGATTAGCATTTGCTCATGCCAGTATACACCGTTAATTGAACTACATCACCAAAAGTGACATATGTCAGAACTAGTTGCTACAATAAGTACTTCTGCTATTCTTCCTCAGCATCTATTGCTTCATATCAGTGGCACCAGTGACCACTAGTACTGGCTGTACAATTAAAGTTTTCTCTAACTAACTGGTTCATCGATATCAATTTGCACTACAGAACTGCTGTTACTAGGAAGTAGTTTTACTGGTACTACTGGTACCTACCAGACTTGCAGATGGTAAGAGCAAGAATCAGTCAAAGAATTAATAGAAGAATTAATGGCTGTGCCTGTTGCCAAAAAAACAATACTGAGCACCGCGTACTACGACCAGTACTATTAGTACTTACCAACTGTTACTT